CTCAATATGTCTGCATGAAAACAGCAGCTGTTCTTTTTCCCTGTAGAGAACAACCTAGCCATAGTTTCTATAATTGCTTTAAATCATCACAAGTAGCTAAAGTTTCCTGTAGAATATCTTCGAAAACTAAATTGAGCAATTGGGTTCAAACCATTACCTATGATTTTCCAGATCAGTACAAAAGTGTGCCACAGAACGGTACAGTTTGTTCAAAATATTGATAACCACTGAATGGCCAATTGTAGGGATCAGGTAACCATAGTACTTGTTATCAGCTGCTAAAATGTGGCCCTGATAATGATAATTGTCATAAAAACAAAGTTGTTAAAAAGATCAACAATCGCAAAACAAAAAATGGACTTACATAGCACTTTTCCTTCTCCTTTACTAGCCCCATTCACACCAAAGCTAACCCTTTACTCCCTAACATCAGTATGCATATTCTCCATACTGTTTTCTCTACATTTCCTAAGGTACTGACAAGAAAAATTTTTTTTTAACAATCAAAGCTTATTGGATTAGCAGTCATTTCTTTTACTCTTATGATCTTAATGAATGATTCAATTAACAGTATTACTTTATTTTATTAAGGGGTTTAAAGAGTTAAACAAGAAATTACAAACAAAACTAGTTTGAAAAATTCTAAACCAAGAAGAAAGTTTACTAAAACTACACAAAAGCTAACCGGTTCTGCAAAGTAAGCAAAGGATGCAATATAGACAGGACTCTCTTTATCCTTGATGTATCCATTGAAGTTCAGTGAACATAGCATTGCACCTACAGCCAAAAGAAGGACTGGTAAGGTCAACACGAAACTTAAACCATAGCGTAGCCATCTTTTCCACCTGGGAAAATACTTCTCTGGTTTTCCAGTTATAGGGCTGGGTCGTATTTCCCCAGAAAACTCAGGACGAAGTAGTTCTAGGTGTTCCAGACCATGTGTTCGCCACAAGAAAGAATACTCTGATTCTTTTCTTTTCCATACCTCGAATAAAATGATATTTAATATTTAAAAAATGATCTTACAAATGATGAATGATAATTATGGTGAGCTCAAAAATCCCTTGAAGAATTTTAAAAAAATGACAAATTACCAGGGCCATGCATATATAGAAAAAATTTATTTTCTGAAAGATAATCAGTAGTCAAAAATCATGTAAGAAATCAATATTCTGATAGCCTTTGCAAAGAAACTTAAAGGTAAATTTGTATGTTTTCATGCTTGACATAACCATAACTGTAAAACCTGCTGCGCACATAAAGTTAAAAGTTTAACTCCCTGAAGTGAATAACAATTAACTTTTCCCTTAAACATCCATACATTATCCAGCAAACAGGTAATGAGAATACTCAAACTTATCAGTTAGAAGTTGTTATCTTGATCTAATTCCAAATTCTTGTAACTCTACAAGGAAATGTGAAGCAGCCAGAGGAGAGAATAATCAGCAAATGGTGGGAGTTAACGATCATAGGTCTCAGCAGAGGCCATTATCTAATTGAATATTAGGGACCTTAAGCAACCATGACGGCAACGGCAATGAGGACGTGGAAAAACAAGAGATCTAATTGGCAGAATAATAGCTCAGCACGTGCATTTTGAAACTTTGTACATTTCTTAGCCGTCCTATGCAAAACAACAAAGTGAAATCGTCAAAATTTGCGTCGTCTGCGAACCGAAACTGCAACGGCAAATTATTTTAATTTCCATTTGGAACTCAACGCTGCTTTTATACGTCATGCTGAAGTTGAGCTGTGGCGTCGTATGAGACAGTAAGCTCATGCAGCCATTTTTAAAATTCTAACTAAGAGTAGAAATTCATTTTTTTAATCGAAGTCTTCCTTGGCGTTGCCGTCCTGACTGCTTAAGGTCCCTATTAAGTCTTGCTTACTGTCAGAAAGCTGATTGCCCAGAAAGCCATAAGAACTTCATATAATGGTAACAGAGGGTTGTCATCCACAGTGACACCAGGCGGCTTGAAGAAATACAATAGGACTCCAGCAAAAGCTATTGGCACTAAAGTCCAGGTGAAACATGTCATCCATCCAAAATAAAATGCTACACTTTCTCCTGGAATGAGAACACCACAGATTTGTTCAGAGTAAAACAGATCTTGCTTACCTTCCTCAGAGAGAGAGAGAGAGAGAGAGAGAGAGAGAGAGAGAGAGAGAGAGAGAGAGAGATGTCCTATGTGGGTAACAAACAAACAAACAAACAAACAACACAAATGACAACTTTCTCAGTTAATAATATGGAACATAACAAAGTGTCTGAAATGTAAGTAGTTAATTACATCTGTTGAACCTTATTTTCTGTTAAGGGGGGAGAGGAGGAAGGATGAAGGGGGGACTGGGGATAGAATGATAAGGAAATCAAGGATCATTAACTCCTAAGAGTGATCAGCATCTAATTTTTCCCTACAATATCACCCCTAAATCAAGCATCAAGGTCTGGAGAACAAAGGAAATGATCATTAAGTAAAAATTATCTTGATTGTGAAACAAATTCTCCTTGTTTGCACCTTAAGAAATGTATAGAAAACAGTATGGAGAATATGCATACCGATGTTAGGGTGTAAAAGGTCAAGGAATGAGAAACTGGATAAGATATTTGCACACATTCATAGTATAAAGATATTGAAGGAGACAGTTCTGCTCCTGCATATTTTTGGATTAAAACTATTGTTAAAATTTTTTTTTACCATAGTAATCTCTAATTTCTTGCAAGGGACAGACAATCACGTTTTGCTTCATTTTGTTCCATATTTTCTCTTGTTCATGGGGTTGATGAAGAGGCAAAGCAGACTCAAAAATTGGTGGCTTGGAATGCAGTAAGTCTGTGATAAATGAACCCTCCCCTCTGAAAGTAACACCAAGTGACTTCAAATGCTCCTAATAAAAAGAAAATTGAGTACAATAGAGAGCCTTTAAGGTGGAGTGCAATTTGCACAATTGCAGAAAGGAAGCCTGAAAAAATTTTAGATATGTTTTATTTTATAATGACATGCAGAGGTATTTAGTTGCAATATGTGATATTAAAGATGACAAATCAGGGCCTCATCCACATGAAAAGCTGCCTTAACTGATTGAAATACATTTAGCGGGAGCTTGTGCCATGCACTGTTCAAGGAATAACCAGGCAAACCTCCCCTCAATCTTTATACTAGCTATAGTCAAGAGAAAATGCTATTTAGGATCAACTTACCCTGTTATACTGCACAGATTCTAAGCAAATCTCAAGCAGATATGCCCTTTCAGCAGGAGTGAAAAATGTTTCTTGATTTTCATTTCCAACATATTCACCAAGCCTTTCAAAAATAAATTGGCGAATCTGTGGAAAAATTGGTAAAAGTTGCTGCAATTCCATGTTTATCAATCCTGTGAAATCCTACCTCCTAGTTCAATGGTTAATGGCAAGAAATTTCAGTGTTAAAGGCTGAGGTAAAAGCCGGGCTTAAAAAAGTTACCCTCCTGTTACCTATTGCTTTTTGGGGTGGGATTGGAAAGAAAAAGCCTTTTCTAAGCTCTCAGTAAGTGGAGACTGATGAAAGTGGATGAGCAAAAAACAATCAGGTTGTGACTGCCTGAATCTACTGTTTTTCACTCAAAAGAGAGGGTCACGCCAGCCTGAGCATATACATTGAAAGCAAAAAGAAATACATTGGGACCTTGAATCAATTGGGGTAATGGGGGGGTGGAGGTGGGGTTAAGAGGCCTCTTCAGAACTGATAATTAACTAGACTGTAGAGGTGCTGCAAAGTGGGTGAAATAAGTAAACTCGGGTCATTAAGGTTATGGCAAAACACCTGGGTATTAGGGTGTTTGCAACTCCCCCTCTGTAAAAAGGAACAATTCATTTAAATAAAAAAACTCTGTCATCTTTATCATCGTCATTAGCATTATCATTATTATTATTATTATTATTATTATTATTATTATTACTGTCACTTTTATCATTATCACTATTTTGGGCAAGAGTTCCATTTAACCCCATACATTAATTATGCATAGAGTGTTGCAAAGAAACCTTTACATTTAGTCTTTATGAAATGAATGCATAATTCATGTATGGGGTTATATGGAACTCTTTCCCTATTTTGTGGGAGAAAAGACAACGGAAACGAAAAAACGCAAACTCATCTGTGCAAGTTAACCTGACACTAGTTTGCTGCATCCGAGAAATGTAACATTACTGCTTGACTAATTAACTCAATAATTATAAAGGAAAAAATTATGATAAAACTCTTAAAAAATAGATATGAAGTTTTTAAACGTGGCATATGCTTATATTGGTCATTAATGTTTAACAAGAATAAAATAATCTCCTGTATACTGTTGTAAAGATTGCGAACCACAGCCAATGTTCCTACCTTGTTTTCAGCTGTTGTTGCCTTCTCCAAATCAGTTTCTTCCGCCTGAAATAAGGCGTTTCTACTTATCAATATTTCACGGGATCGAATACGCAAACAATTGTTTATAAATACTCTTTGAGGAAAACAACTTGTCCGCTATCTAACCCAAGCATCTGAGCCTCACCTTCTGAGCAAGGACGTCGAACTGAGCACCGATGGTTAGTAAAGTTTTGCCCTCAAATTCCTCTCGGGTAACCCTAAACTTTGCAGCACTAAGACAGTCGATGATGTGCTGTTTTATGTCTTCTTTGTGGCACTTTTCCGAGAAGCACACGAGAAACTCCCCGACAGCCATATTCGCATCTCTTGCTTGTTGCTCTGATCTGGTACAAAGCCAAAGCAGTGTCACGCTTTATATTGTGTGACAGACCAGTCAAGGATAACTTTCCCTCCCTCCCTTGGATAGCATTTTTGTTAAGGATACTGAGACCTGAAAGAAACGCATAGCGTCATAAGAATTTGGGGGCTTTTCAGAGAGGATTATTGTTTTTCTTTTAACTTTTTAACTTTCTTGTCGACGAGGAAACGCTTATTCAGCTTAGACCGCATCTCTTCGCCAAAAGAAAAGAAACTTTGTTCCCAAAAAATAAAAGAAGGGAGAAGGTGAGATAGCCGGAATAGCCAAGAAGAAAATTAGTATATCAAATCAATTATGATAAATAAGTAGTCATGAAATCTCCGGTAGCGGGTGTTTTAACAAGTTCTGCTCTCATTCGTCGGGTAGTTATACAAGGAACCAATTACATGTCGAGGTTGAGTCGCATGTTTGTCTGACAATAAACTGGTTAAAAAAAAAACACTGTACTGACAGATTCATCTTTGATCGTTTATTTCTCAAACTAAGCCGACCACATTTTACGAAGTTATTCTAACGCAACATTTCCAATAAACTGCATTTTTTCTATTTAACTTAGACCAGCAAAATTCAATATTTCCTGTCAACTTTTCTCTACTAAAAGCGATTTCATTTTATTTTAAACTACATTTGCACAGAAGTATTCCCTGTTAAATATTCTAACACCTGCGAGCTCGTAATTCAGTGTTAGTGTGACTGGCTTGTTATCGTTTTTTTTTTTGGAAAAATGAAAAATCACAAAACGCTTCTTAAAGCGACAAAGACTCATTATTAAAGCACGCTATTATTATCATTAATCACGCTGCACCTGTCGAATCGCAAAGCTGAGAAAGTATGTAACACAATTGACCCGATAGTGTTTTTGTTTTGGTTAAAAAAAAAAAAAAAAACACGCGTAACAGCTTAAACAATCATAGTGATTTGTGTTCTTCCTCCTTGTTCGATTGAAGGTTTTTACCAAACCATAACACGATCCCGAAGTTAATAATACAAATAAACACCATAAGACCCAAACTGTTCCTAAACGTAACGATTGGGAAGCGCTCCAAATCGTTTCGTCTCGATTCCATTTGGATTTGAATGGCTGTAAATTGATCAGCTGCCCCAAGAGCGGTGAAAACATGGAGGAAGTGATGGCTGTGGCCGACAATATCGAAAACACCCGGGATTAACCGTTCAGGCATCCGCGACATATTAGCTAAAGCAGAAATCAGGTAATAGATTGAATGACTTCGGAAATAAGAGATGGCTAGCTGCTCTTCCGGTGTATCAAACTGGGATGGCGAATCCACGCATACACGATGTAAATATGGGGCACTGTTGAAGAAAAACGCTAGCACAAAGCAAAGCGTTCGAATAACGTACTTCATCTTCGGCCATCGGTGTCTCGAGGCACAACAGGTGAAGGTTGAGAAAACAGAAATTAAACACGAAATCCCAAGGAAAGCGCTTGAGGAATTAAAGAAAGCGTTATTACCATTCAGCGAGCGACTGTAGAAGTAGAATGCTTGTCCTGCTCCGACACTGTAAACGCTTATTGCTGAATAATCAAAGAAGAAGCAAATGTGTCGTACTCTCGGAGACATGGAGTTGAAGAGATGTGCTCCGGAACTCATCAACAAGAATCCACAGATTCCAATGGCAAATGAGAGCAAAGGATACACATATGTGTCCTCGATAAGACAATATTTCGAGAATAAGAACGCAAAACGTACCAAGAAAAGCAGAAAAGGGACAAAATGCGTCCAAACGTTGACAGTTTCGTTTAGTGGCAAGAAAGCACTCTTCACGCAATCCATCGCTGTACCGTAAGGTTTGCGATAACCCGAACAGATGAACATTTCGCGGAATTGTGCGGGAACTTCGTCGGAGCGCAGGCCGAACTGATTTTGGCGTTTCTTCTCCATTTTAGTTGAGTAGCTGAAGGTAACTTAGCAATAGACTGGTCTAGGTCGATGGCGTGATGCCAGACGCCGGTTCCGGTGAAATAATTGTCCGAAATAGTACTGCACGTTCATTGGTTGATATCTCAATACTAGGGGTTTTCCTCACATAAATAAATTATGCAATATTAATTATGCAGCCTCTCCAGTATTCTCTAAGAGGAAAAAAAAGGGAAAAAAAATATAATACGGCAACAACATAATTTGAACTTATAAATCTAACTGAATTTATTTCTTCTCCTTCGTTCTTGCCATTAAAAGCATGATTAAAAATGCAAATGTTCCTCACATTTGATTTTCTGCCAGAAAAAAATGCTTGGACTTGTGAAAATTTGAATCAGAGAACAAAAGTACAGATCAGTAATGATGAAAAAACTTACCAATTTGAATAAAAAAATCTTGAAAAACAAAGTCAACAAATAATAATTTGTTAGTGTTTTCTACCATTAATGTAATCAATTTTGGGCAAAGAAAGGAGAACAGACCAGTGAATGATAAGTAAAGAAGTTTCCAAACACCCCGTCATTAGTATGCATATTCTTCACACTGTTATCTCAACGTTTCCAGTTCTACTGGCAAGGAGAGTTTGACAAATGAGAGCTTTTTAAATTGTTCATCAATTTCTTTATTCTCATGGCCTTTACATTTGATTCAAGTATGTTACCAAAAGGAGAAATGGGAAGTCAATCACTCTTGGGGTTAAATAGTTAAGAAAAATTAATGTGGGAGGTGGAAAATAGTGTTAAGTAGTAAGAGAATATACTGCACCTCTGCACCCATGCATTGTGTTTCGTCAGGGTTTCAAACACTTGAAAAAATATAGGTGCTTTTATGTTTTTTTTTTTTAATGCATGTGTCTTTGGAAACCCTGACAGAATATGTGAACTCATTTCTTGTAATAGTACATCATTAAAATGTTTCTTTTGTCCTTTAGAATACAAAACAACAATACAGAGAGCTCTAGTTATAGCTTGTATAAATTAAGCTATCCTTCAATTCTATTATCTACAAATTATCTGAAACATTTTAACTACTACTTACATTGCCACATCTGAGGAAAGTTATCCATTGTGACCCCTTTTTGAAAATTTTTCTAAAAATTACTATTGGTAATTAAACCATTTCGTTTTGACTGCAGGCATAGTAAATGTAATAATTATCTTTCTTTAGCAAGAATTTCCATAAAATCCTCTACAATACAAAATATTAACAACATAAAAAACGATCCAAAATAACTCATTTTCGGCTCACATCTACTTTTTTTTTTAATGTCAGTGTCTAGTAAACTATAAATAAAGGAGTCAAATCTGAACAGAGTCAAATCTGAGTAAGCATAGTAAATGTGAAAACTACTGCAAAAGTTAAAAGTACCTTCTTTGAAAAAGCCTTTCTCCTGTGTGTCATGCAACACACTATCTCATAAGAAAGGGAAAGTTTCCCACAAAAAGGCCAAAAAAATTTAATTTCCTCAAGGGAATATCTGCAAGTACTTCAAAACAGTAAGTTTTTACCCACTGATAGAGTACAAGGATTTAAATTGTGGACTTATAAGAATATAAGAAACTTTGCACATAACTTTTGAGCTTTGACCAAAAGTTAATTACCCAAAGCTAAGATGAAACTGAAGCAATAATTATTAATATTTCACTGCTGCAACAGGTTTTAGCTACATGAGGCTTTCATTTGTTTTCTGTCATTCAAACAAAAAAACTCACTCCATTTCTGAGCCCTTGACTTCCTAGATCTCGATAGTAATTCTCATTAATGTCTGCTACACAATACATATCATTTTAGTTTCGAGAATTTGGTTTTGAATCAACTAATAGTCCCCTAATTAAAACTATAACAAAATTCTTGAACATGATTGGTTATTACCAGCCCCATTTGAGCACTAATAGGACAGAGTACACATCATACTTGTGATTGGAGAGTGTAAATAGACAGTATGCATTATGTGCAGGTGCTGTCGCTGTGCATTTCATTGAGTTACATGTTTGAAAATGTTTCACCAATGGCTAGTTTTTTTCGCAAATGTTGTTATGGTTTTGATTAATTGGTAATGGAATTTCAGGCCTTCCAATTCATCTGTAGTCATACATGTAATTAAAGCCTGGTTCACACTTGTGAAATAACTACAAGCATAAGCACAAGAAAATGCCAGTATACACTAAGTGTACACCATTGGCAATGAGAAATTGGTGGAGCTTGTAAGATGTTATCCCATTCTATAAGATAACTTTTCGTCTGATTTAATTGAAGGATGCCTATAAAAAGGAGTTGGCATGGTGTGAAACTGCACAAAATCTGAGGTTGAAATCAGGTTAGCAAAGGATCCAAGAAATGATTTAAAATCTTTTACCCACAGATGCCTTCCATTACTTTGATGTTTGAGTCTTCATCGCCTCCTCTATTTAAGTAGCAAGAGCAACATCATAGCAGCAACCAACAGTTCTTCCGCTATCTTTTTTCTCCACAGATGTGACTTACACTGTGCACTTGTAAGTCGCTAGTGTGATCATCCTTGAGCTCATGCCTGTGCTTATCTCACAAGTGTGCACCAGGGTTCAGAAATCAGACTCCTACTTTGTGGTTGGGCCCTACTCAGTCCCATTACCATTAATAATTGATTTTTTTTTTATTCCTATCACTTGTCTGCTTGATTTTTTTTTTTGAAACTGTAAGGAGAAATTCTGTCTTAGTCACTCATGGAAGTTAAAGGGTGAAAGTAACTTGACCATATGATATAGGTGGTGGTGCACTTCAGCCTAATGATCAGACTTCTGGACTCAAAATTAAGAGGGCCTTGTTTGAGCCATGGCTGCTTCATCCCTTTGCATTCTTGGGCAAGACACCATCCTCTTAAAATGCCTGTCTACATCTAGGTGTATAAACATGTTGAGGAAAACTGTCAATATTGGCGGGTTACCCAAAATGGAGGAGCACTCCCTCTGGCAAGAGGAAAGATACTCCTCAATGCTATCTCCTGCAGTGTTAGGCCAGGGCTACTACCTCCATACAACATAACACTAACAAATAGTATAAAACACTATGACATGAAAGAAATGTTAAAAAGTAACCTGTTCTGCATCCACAAAGGAACAACTTCATGTTGAGTTACACTTTTTGCACTTGGACTTCTTTGAACCTTCTGTCAACTTTACCTTATTGTCAGGCTCAGCAAGTTCAATTTTAATTGTACCAAGGTCAACAGACCTTGTGAGAAGTCGAATCATTGTTTTGAACATGTGTTCAATTTTTTCAACATCTAAAGCACTAACCTCCAAGTAGCTTAGCCCATGACATTTGGCAAACTTTTCACCCTCTTCGCGAGAAACTTCCCGTTTCTTTTCTTGGTCAATTTTGTTGCCAATTAGAATAACCAAAGCATTAGTTTCAGTACAGTAAAGGTGGGCTACATCTAGCCACTTGGGAATGTGATGGAAAGTTTCACGATTTGTTACATCACACACAAGAAAAATACCATGTACCCCACGAAAATACATTGCTTGCAGAGCAAAGAAATATTCTTGCCCAGCAGTATCCACTACCTCTAAATGTACAAATTTTGAGCCATACTTGAAAGACTCAAAGTCAATTCCCAAACCTATGGTTGTTGTACTAAAACCAATGTTATAACGAGGGTCTTGAAAGCGCTGAAACAGGCATGACTTCCCCACTCCTCCATTGCCTATAAAGAGGATCTTAAACTTATAGTCATACGTGGGTTGGCGTTCCACCTTTTCAATCACAGCTTCTTCATCCATTTCATAACAATCAGAATGCCACACCAAGTTCCACTTGTGCTTCTCTAATTCTGCTTTGATATCTTTGGCAGATGGACGACACTCGCTGTCATTCTCCAAACACCTGAGTACTAAACTTTGTACTAAATGATCTCCCATCTCGTCAATGTCAGTTTTGCGGCGTTCATGTTCACTGATCTTCTTACCATCTGAAAGAGATTAACATAACAAAAGAGTTAACTTAAAGTTAAAATATTTGCAAGAGCCACTTGACCAAATCGCTATATTGAAACATAAACTGTAAAGAAGGCATTTTGAAAAAAATGTTCCCTTAGCCAGCAGGAATTTAATGGTGCTTGGGTGTGATTTTGTTGAGTCATTACAACATAAATACAGTGCACTGCTAATAAAGATGCTCTAACTGAAAACTGTGTCTTTGGTACATACTACAAATTTCAGCTATTTGTGATGCACAACAGATGTTTGGCAACCATGTTTTGATTTTAAAATTGAGTTGTTTTAATAATAACCAGAATATTTAATATTTATATAGAGCAAATCAACATACAGGAAGATATGATGAAATGTACTTTACATGAAAAAATTGAAAACAAAATTACTATGTTGCCTATTTACAATTTGAATTTACAATAAAATGCAAAGATATATACTATATGAAACATTAAAAAGAAATTATGAACTGAAAGCTTCCCTAGAATAGTGAGTTTTAAGCAATGTGTTAAAGATGTTGAGATTTTGCTGTGATTTTAATGATTGCGAGAGACTTTTCCAAATCTTGGCGGATACATCGGAAAAGGCTCGATCTCCAAGCATTTTTTCCAATCATCGTGAATGGTCTGTTTTTATCGGTAACTAGTTGCATTTGCAGTGGCAATATGCCTCTTCTAGCGGGCTTTCAGTTGGTGACCCACAGCTCTTGAGATTTGGTTACCTTTGGAAATGAGACAAGTTGTCCTTAACAACACAGTAATTTAATGACCAAACAGAACCCTGCCACTAAAATTTTACCGCGCTTCACTCAACTAATTATCAAAATACCTTTGGTGATTGGAGAAAGTGAAGAGACTTTTGGTTCATGTCCAACAGCCATGGCTAGTAACATGACACCAAACGAAAATATGTCCACTTTAGGTCCATACTTTGCATTGTCCACCACTTCAAAATTCACCATAACAGGATAAGTTTCTGGCGCTGCATAAACTAGTGTGCCTCGCACCGGGGTGGCATACATTTCGTACCCTTGGACAAATTCTTTAGCCACACCCAAGTCAGCGATCTTGGCAGTGCCAGCATGTGTCAGTAGAATATTCTTTGTTGCCAGGTCGCGATGGACAATCGGATTTCCTAAGCCATGCATGTACTGAAGACCTTGAATCACGTCTAAGGCTATGCATAACAGATTCATTGTTGGGACTTTTGGGGATGACTTCGATTCTCTGATGAACCTTTCCAAATCACAATGCAAGAGCTCCGTAATAATTATAGGCAATCGTCCCTTAGGAAACTCAACTCCATAGAATTTGACCACGTTTGGATGGTTGAGTGACTTAAGGATTTCCCATTCTCGCTGGAACTCTTCCCTTATCTGATCGATTATTTCGCTGTAGCCACTGTTAGCGAGAGCGGCGTGAAACCTTTTCGCTGCTACTTCTCTTCCGTTCCACAAAGCTTTGTACACTTTTCCATAGGATCCTTTTCCGATTTCTCTTTCCAGCACAAGGTCCCTCACGTGAGACTCGAGTGATTCTTCTTCGGCTTGTTCCTGATCCATGCTAAGATTTCGTAAATGCAGGTTCTTTCTTCTCGAATCGATGTGCTAAAATTTTACAGAGCGCCATCTTGGAGCGAGTACCGTTCCGGAACATGTTGGACAAAGAAAGAGGGTGCTGCTGTTAATTTGAATCGCAAACAGTAAAATTCAAGGAAAACCAAGTAGCAATTTCCGAGTTTACATAAAAGAAGAAATTAAATTACATATTTCGAGCTGATTTCTGACACATTTAAGTGTATCTGTGGACGCTGCAGGCATCGCGACCACCATAAAATAAAAAACAATAGCAAAATCGCTATGCATTCTGGTTAATTCATCGTTTCGCACTCCTCCCGCGGATCCCATGGCGCCTTCACAGGCGCACTTCGGTAACTAAAATACAGACAAGCAAAAACAAACACAAGAAACTATAACAAAAATCTTGACGAGTTCTCCCTTTTGCCTACCGGTAACTTTCAACCATCAATTCTTTTCTGCCTGTCGTGAAGGTTAACTTTTCTATGAAACGCAGACATGACTCGCCCCAACCTTTCGACAGTCAGTCACAGGTACCTCGTCCATAAGCTAATCCAGGCCGGTTTTGGTGGAAACCTGCTTAACTGGTTCTGTTGCTACTTGTCAAGTCGATTCCAACGCGTTACGGTACTCAGCGCCACTTCAGAGGATCTTCCTGTTACCTCTGGAGTACCTCGGTCCAGTCCTCTTCCTCTTATACATCAATGACCTTCCCCAAGTCATCAGTTCTAGCAGTCGTGTTTTGATGTTTGCTGACGACACAAAAATATTCAGGGAGATAAAACCCTTGGGGATGCCTCTTCTCTCCAGGAAGACCTTGGGAAGCTTGCAACTTGGTCTCAGTCATCCGGTCTCCTCTTTAACGAAGCTAATCTTGTAAGGCGGAGCACATTACAAGGAAAACAAAAGCCGATCTTATCCTCTTATAAACTCAACAACACCACACTTGAATTAAATGCTGCAGAAAAAGACCTGGGCGTTTGGATTAGTAAGGATGTGACGTGGAACAAACAAGTAAACGAACAATATTCGTGAGCTAATAAACTGCTTGGATACTTAAAGAAGAACACGAGGTTCATCTTAGAACCGAATTAAGAGGAACGCTATACCTAGCCCAAGTTAGGCCACATTTGGGATACGCCACCCAAATTTGGGCCCCACAGTCCATCGAGCACATTGTCAAGCTTGAGCGTACCCAAAGACGCGCGACTAAGTTTATCTTAAAATTACCTTATTCTTCTAATACAAGTTCTAAGTCTCGCTTACAAACTCTAAACCTATTTGTTACTGGCATGAACTTTTAGATCTAACCTTTTTTTTTCAAATTGACACACGGCCGTTGTTAACGTGAACTCCTCCGTCCAACCTGAAGGTCGCAAATACGGGAGACGTACTAGATCCTCAACCAGTAATGCTAATAAATACATAATTAAGAAGTGTAAAACAAGTACGTACTAAACATCCTTCCTCATTAGAACTAGTAAAATTTGGAATTGTTTAGTGGATAAACTAGATTTGAGCTTATTGACCGTAGCCTCTTTTAAATCGGTTATTCTTATTTATTATAAGTCTGCAGTAAATGGCTTGAACCCGGTGGTAACATGTGAAGGACTCTGGATATGACTTCCGCACAGGTTGTCGAAACGTCAGTCACTACCACCGACAACAGTCCTTCTCAGGACTACACTCACCCGGACGATCAGACTACACCTTCACATATAAGTCTGCGTTAGCTGTTTCCTATGATTGTGAAGACCCACGTTCGTTCAAGTCTATCTGCTTAAAATGTAATAGCGCTCCTCCCTTGTCTCGTCCAATAACTTGTTGCAAGTAGCTGTTGTTTCTCTTGTATTACTGTGCTTTCTAATATTTCTTGTTTTATTAGTGTCCGGGCCCGCTGTAATTGGCCACAGCTGTTGCGTTGTCCCTGCCAACGTTCTTTCTGTTGTCTGTTTGTTTGTTTGTTTTTTGGCGAAGCTAATAAATTAAATTAACCTCGTTCCCAGGGCCTTTTACCTTAATTGAGGGAAAAGGCCCTGGGAATGAGCTTAGATTCGCCCGAAGCGAAGATTTCTGATGACGTCTAGGCATAAATAGACTGTGCTCGTCAACTTTTGAGCAACTTTTAGCGTTTTCAACAACTTTTTCTATTGCGAGCAACGGTCAGCACCCGTAGAGCAACTTTTGCCTTCCTTGGCAACTTTTGAGTCAACAAATAGTTTAAAACTGACCAAACTATCAAAAAAGTCTTTATCAAAAGGTTATTTCATTAAAACTGGTCAAAACTAAGGATGTCGTACGTTCTTAAAAATCCTTAAAAATAATTATAAAATAATTCGTGCGCCCACAAACTGGACAGCAACTATCTATCTAACGGGCGCTTACATCCAGCGGTTATTCGCTCCAACAATAGAGCTTCTCGCACGTGCGAGGCATCACAATTAGAAGCTGAAATGTCTGACCATAGTTAATCGAATATAAAGTCTTCGATGCCAGACGCCATGTTTGTTTACTGTGACAACGATAGCGATGCACGGTACTTGTGACGTATCATGACGTCACGGTGCAATTCAACCTAAAATCGTAAACAATTAGCCGGTCCTCTGAAGTTTGCCGGCCTTCCTAACCAGTCCCCTCGATTAACTATGGTCTGACGAGGAAAATAAAAGTAATACAGATATTGACACTATCGAGTTTACCATAGTCGCTGGAGCAACTCTTGATAGTCATGCAAGAGCTTAAATTTCTAGAAAGCGCAAAATTCACGTCAACGAAGGCAAATACAAACAACGAGAAGCGGTAGCTCGACCTCGTCCTAAGGGAAAGGAAACACAACATGTGCTTGGAATCGCCAGAGAGACTATCTAAAACGTCATTAGAACATACTTTCTATCAATAGTTACGTTGAGATTATATTGATCACAACAAATGATGTTAAAGTACACATACAACATCATGTTTTGAGTAGTAATCTAGAACAACATGACTCTCAAAAGTAAACAACTTTTTTCAATTTGGGTGGCAACTTATAAATTTTTGAGCAACTTTCGAACAACTTTTGGGTGTATTGTCAAGCAACTTTTGCTGGATTTACTAGCACAATCTATTCATGCCTAATAACGTCTCATATCTATTTCCAGGAATCTATCAAAAATAACTGCACTTTATGTGACCTTTTAATCATGAAAGGAACAATTTATTCAAGAAAAGTGTGATCACTCGCAAAGACATTTCTGTTCTCGTATTCGAGTGAGCCTCTATGTTTTACTAACTTGATAGACCACGCCCTTTATCCGTGCATCTACCTTTTACGCATCCAAGATAGTAGTGGGTACAGCCCTATATGAATTTGCGAGGAGTAACTAAGATTTCCAAAGTGGTGATCTCATTTAAGAATTTCAATACTAGGCCCTTATCGATTGTGCTAGTAAAAGAATCATATTATGCTACTAGCAGTGCCCGTTTTTTTTACAAATTATGCTAAAAGTCCTGCCCGTTTTTGAAAGTCATGCTACTTTTTCGTAACTAGTAGGGATGCAAGGAAACCCCTGTTTCTATTGTCACTTTATTCAAAACTTTTTACGCTCTAACTACATCAGAATCAGCACAGGAAAATAATAAGTGCCCCCCGGCCCAGCCCTCCCTACCCGCCCTCGACTAAGCGCACTCCTCTTTTTTTAGCCGAGATCTTAGATGAGCGCCTGGGTGCTTATTCAAAGAAATAAGGTATTTAGAACAGGAAAAGTTCAATGCCACATAGATTCTACCGATTCGTACGTCTCTGTAGATTGGATTTATATTCATATAGTATTGAGTTTTAAAAAATTATTTAAAAATTTATTCCACAAAGGAGGAGTGGGGGAGGGGGGTGAAGGATCATGGGAAGGCCTGTCCCGATTGTACTCGTAGAATGCTGGTAGAAAGTTGCTCATTAGGGTGTCAAAAAGTTGCTGAAATTGTTAAAGATCCAAAAAATTGTACCTTAAGTTCAAAAGGTACTTCCCAAATTTCTTGATATTTTTACATGAAGCTTTGTCTTTTGTTCTTCACAGTGCTCAGATTGGTCAAGAAAATAGCTTGAAACTTGGCTCGTGACGTTGGCAAAATTTGAGGATAATTCATATCTAAAAATGGAACAAAACGCGTGGTTCATTTGACATCTTGCCGAAGGATATGAGGGAACTTGATCGAAATTACCTCTATTGATTGCATTCTCAGAGTAAAATAATAAATTTCACAAAAATCAATGAAGTATTCTGTGAAACCGTTGACTTTTTCGTGCTTGATATGTGCTCAGCTAAACCTATATTTTGTTGACAATGGTTTTTACAAATATCCTCTTACTTGGGGTACCTTAGTATACGTGAAGGGTTGGTGTTAGAAGACTATGGGGAGGACCCGTTGAGAGAGATTTGATTAGGGTCCAGGTTGACCGCGCATTAACGGTCTCCCAGTTGCACAAGATGTTCCTTCCACGCATTAGAAGAATTCAGAACGGCCGTTAATTTGAAATTCTCGCGGGATTGGTTGCTCGACAAACCAACTTTGGTGGGATTTTTTTCGGTGAACTATTGTTTTCGGGAAACTATTTGGCTTTCGTGCTGCCAAGTTTTGCTTCGAGGGAAAGTACTTAAGTGTTGTTTTCGAGCGATTTTGGCGAGCATGTGTCAACAGAAGTTTCCTACGTATCTTGTGCACGGCCGACCCTGCTGGCAGAGGCCTTTATTTGTTAACTTCCCCTACGGTCCACGTAAAAATAAAGTCCTCTGCGCTCGGCCTGTTAAATCTTCTTCGAGCATGCGCCGCCTGTTGCTTAGAGACAAATTAGTTCCCGGTAGTACTCGACCAACTAAATAGGATGCGTGCGCATAAAAACGTGTTTAAAACAGGTTCTGACCGGTTTTGTAAATCAGATCACAAACTTGGATAATTCCCAGGTGCATGCTCGAAGAAGATTTAACAGGCCGAGCGCAGAGGACTTTATTTTTACGTGGACCGTAGGGGAAGTTAAGAAATAAACGCCTCTGCCAGTAGGGTATGTGCACGGTGACTCGGTGGTGATTAGTGCGTCAAGCTAAAACACATCAAAGCGGCCTCAAATCGCGAGGAGAACAACAGACGACTTTCCATGAAGGTAAGACTTTATTTCTTTGATTATTTCACGCAACTTTACTCAAAAACAAGTTTAGCTCAAAAGCAAGTCCAACAAAACCACTGTACAAACTCTTAAATAATCCACTGTG